CAGAGCATCTTCAAGAGTGGCTCATTCCTTGCATCCACCCCATGCTTATCTGGATGTGATGCTTTATATGCTGGGTCTTTGTATTGGGAGACTCATATGTTTTGGGGATAAAAGAGCATCAGGATAAAGTTCTAGTAAGGTCTATAATAACCTTTTGGTCAGTGGGATTCTGGGCCGAGTTTCTGGTGCTCTTCTCACTGAAAAGTTGGAACTTTAGACTGTCCCTCCCCCAAAAGGGAAGAAAGTAGCTGATCTGTGAATAAGGACAGATATCCAAAGAGGAGAAAATCATGGACTAAAGTATTTAAGCCCTTTGAAACTAGACTAATCCAAAGTTTTAGGGAGTACAAAGGAGGCAACAATCCTGCAGAGATGATAAACAAGGAGAACCACAAAATGAGGACAGAGTGAAACATCATATGACTGGCACTGACACCACGGTCAGACGTTCGGTGGCTTCAGGCAACTTGCTCTCTCAGAGACTGTTTCTTTACCATTACCCTAACTGCAGCCCCCATCCCTGCTTACCGACCATTACCCCCAAGCCTTCTTCAAATGGCCTGCAGACTGGGCACTTCCTTTTGTTTATATGAAAGAAAGGCACCTCCCCTGAGAAGAGAGATTTAAAAAAGGCCCAACTCTACAGGGGCAAGGGTTGACCAGCAGACTACATCTTTGTAGGAATAAAGTGATTCTCTTGTCTCCAGCTGGATCTAGCCTGGGAGAGGATGCCCAGCCTGCCAATCAGAGCTTCTGCCAGATTGCATGCCCCCACTCAGCTTCTCCGGCTATGCCTACAAGCAGTATACAGCTGTCTATCCTACAGACTTCTTCATGGAGTGGGATTGTGTTTTGCAAGTGCCCTACTTAAAGAATACTGGAGCCAATTTGTAACAAGAAAAAAGAAGTCGTTAATTGGAAAAGGAATATAATGATCTCTGGGGTCCTACAGTTAGTAGGCTATCTACAAATAGTAGCTGTTATCGCCCCACATTTTCCCTTCATAGCTGTGAACTCAAAAGTTTCATTCAGTCAATAGAATTTAGCAAAGCACAAGGACCCAACTGGCCTTGAAATTTCACCAACTTTGCCACATATCCACCACAGAATCAAACTAACTACTTCTCTGAAATCTGTAATGACATGATTGAAACTGGGTTTACATTTATTTAAATAGTATAGTTTTGATAGATTGAAAATATTTGAGTAAGCGGCACAACACATGTTCAAGGAAAATTTACAGAGGTCCTTTTGCCCCATCGATTTCCTCACTTACCTGTAAGAGCACCATTTAAATGAAAAAAAGAGAGTGGGGAGGGGTGTTGAGTTTCAGTTCTGCACAATGGCACCTTTAACAAACCTGCAGGCTAGTCAAAAACTAAATAGGCTGGCCTGAAAAAATCTTTATTACTGCCAGTTAATACTCAGGTCTCTAGGGGGAACAAGAACTTTCAATGACTCAATATTTATAAATGCTACTGTTGTCCCCTAAACATGTGTCTAGATTCCTGAGGAATGCTGGGAGCTTTTGCCATAATGAGAGTAAGGGTATATGATCTTTAAATGGTGAGAGGAGTGGTGAAGCACATATAAACACACAGACATTAAACACACATAAATGAGCACTTGGTGGTCTGAAGTTGAATACCACATGAATATTATTGGGAAATCTAACCTGTCTGGGTTATTTCATTTTAATTTACCAATGTCTTGAACATAGAGGAAGCATTCAAAATACACAACACTGTTGGCCAGGATACTTTTTCTTTTTATTCGGAATTTTGCTACTTCACATCTACTGATGCCAAAAGAGGCTGAACATGAAATGTGGAATATCAAAATAGCTGAGTGTGTTTACAACTCCAACGGTGTAATCAAAACTCCAAATGCTCAAGAAACAATAACATCAGTGAGGTGAAGTCAATTCTAAATTAAAAGTCAGTGTTTCCATTACCCACTCTAACCGTATTTTCAGGAGTTTATATAACTTGATCATTAAAAAATGCTCTAGGCTGAAAACCTGGTCTGTGTCAATCTTGGACTAAACTAGTTTGCAAAGCTCTGAGTTTGTTTGCCCTTCTCTTTTATTCCTTTTCAAGAATGTATTACTTTTAAATGCTACACATGAAACTGAACCAAAAAAATCCATAATACTCGATGGGCCCATGCTGTTGCATGCATCACTCATATTTCAGAAGAAATTTATGGTTTCTGTAAACTCACTTTCAAGGTGCCTATGGCTGGAAGTAGAGTTCAAATTCCTTTTCTACCTCAGTCTTTAGCACATCTTTTCTCTGTCAATTACTTCACCAAACACAGAACTTCAAATCAGACCATTAACTTTCGTGACAATAAACCTCAAATTAGAATTTAACTTGGTAGAAACAAAATTTATTATTGTGACTTCTGTTCTCTTTCAGAAACAGAATAGAGATTTTATATGGAGACATCAAAAAAAGGAAGGACGGACAGTCCATTAGACTTGGCCATGTTCTCATCACATTGCTGTGAGGAATAACAACAGAGAGCTATTGCACATGAATAAAAGAATCTCTGAGACATGGAAATATCTTGGCATCTAGAAGCCCAAATATTTAGGCTGTGAGGTTAAAAGGCAGATCTAACTCCCTAAGATTGGGTTTCAAGGAATGCTCAGGAAGGAACCTGAGATGGCCTCCACCCTTCATCACTGAGAAATAAGATTTTTTCATGACACTAATGTAGGACCCATCCAAAGGATCAAGGTAATCTTGATCCTTGTCCGAGAAGGAGGAGACAAAGCAGAAACAACCTTCTGTTATGTATACGTATATGTGTGGGGGAGTTGTGAGTGAATTATGGGTGTGCGTGTATGTTGGTTGTATGCCTTTCTGTTTGCCTGGTCTCTATATTGTATAGGAGAGATATAAATACATTTATAAGTTTAGAAAAATAAATACATTTATACATTTAGAAAGGGGTATATTGTTTTAACATTTCATATTACATTGTTTTGACCTTTGTAGAATTTGAGAAATCATCATTTTAAATGAAAATAGAAATACCTAGACTCTCTGGGTCAGAAGAAATGATGTATTTCACTTCCTAATCCAGACACCCTCCACCACCAGTACAGTCCTTTCTACAGAATCACTCAGCACCTACAATTATTTGCAAAAATGGGCAAGATAAATACTTATAAGCTCAAATTTTTAAAAATCTGATGAGTTGTAATATATCCTTTGTTTAAATACTTCCAGTGATGGAGAACTCATTATTCATGAAATACTCATTTATTCAGATAACACTTCAGGCTAAAAAGTCCTTCCTTCTGGTCCTGGGAATGCCTTGTTAAGAAATAGATAAAGGATTTTTGAATTGAGAAGCACTATAAAACATCACTGCTAACATTTCTACTAAGTCCAAAAAGATTTGAACCTGGCCAAATGTCATAAATGCCCTTTATCATTATGACATCACAAAAGTTATGTTATACATTGTATTCTATCAAGTATTTAATAATGAAGTGACTTTTACCAATCATTAAAGCCACAGCTTCACAATGGGATAATATTCAGCCATGAAAAGGAATAAAATACAAATAGATGCTACATGGGTGAAGCTTGAAAACATTATACTTAGTGAAAGAAGTCAAATATTATATGACAGAAAGTCAAATATTATATAATTCTGTTTAGATGAAATGTCCAAGACAGGGAAATCTAGCAGAGGCAAAAAGTAAACTAGCAGCTGTCTAGGTTCAGGTGGAGAGAGAATGGTGAAAAACCCCATTCATGAGTATGGGACTTCTTTTGGGGTAATGAAAGTTTTTGGAATTATATATTGGTGACGGTTGCACAACCTAAACATCACTGAACTGAATTCCTTAAATGGGGGAAATTTATGTCTCAATTTAAAAAACAATCATATCTTAAATCATTGACATTAAATAAAAAATCATTTAGATAGGCACTGTTATCCAAGGAACTCTGAACTCAATAAAATGGCCAAAAGAAATACTAATTTTAGCTCTGCAAAGCTTAGCTCTCTAAAAGTTATGCAGTGATATACTGAATAATTTATGAATATGGATTTTACTAAAGAATCTCTCACTATATTTATGTTAATAGTCTCTGATCCACAAAGAGTTTTGATCTTTTTATTTTACAAGGAAGAATAGGGTTTACTTCATATTGTGCTTGCACTCATGAAATACCAGGAAATTTAAACCCACAAATGGCTTCCTCAAAGAAAAACTGACAATTTAAAACTTGTTTTACTCTGTCTCAAATAACTCTGGGTTTCTGTAGGTTTAACTCAAAACATGTGGATTATAGTCCATCTACTAGAAATGCTTTTGATTTTTCAAATGGCAATCACACATCCTACAAAAAGTGAAGCAGAATCTACTTGATAGCAGGTTAATTTTGGAAAGACAATGCTTCCTAGATTAAGCATATCTGTGTTGTTTTTTCAGACCATAACTTTAAAATGTAAAGTGTATAAGACATATTATTTCCCTATGAATAGTAGTTAAGATCTCCCAATTTGAAAAAGCAACTATATATGTCATTATATTTATCCCATAAAGACACCTGAAATCTTACATTATGCTTTTGAATAGGATGGAGGTCACTGTCATATCATATCATTCAATCTCTGTCCTCTTATTCCTCGTGTTAGAAGTTGTTCATTTCTTCTCTCACTGGCTATACTGTACTATAAGCTCCAGGGACTTGATGCAAGTCTGATATTTTTAGATGAAGCCCAGTGATAATTTCTTCCATACAGAAAGGGACCTAATATCTAATTTTAGTTGAAGATTCATTATTTAAGTTTCTCTCATTACCCAGGTTCTCCATGGCAGTTTCTTTATGTGTATTTATACTACATTGGATTGCCAAATGACCAAAAATTACCATGAGTTTTACAATGTAATTATTGCATAGATTTCTATGAGTATTGTGACACAGAGCTTTATTCACACATAATTTGAAAAATAAAAACTCTATGAAACTCACAATTGTAGCCAGGTCCAATACGGTGTTGAGCTTCAAGACTAGCCAACGTGATGTGAAAAATAATGTGCAGCAACAGGAATGAAAGACTGGTGAAGCACAGAGACTTTAGTAGCCGTCCTGTGTGTCCTAGGGGGTAGAAGTACAGAGATGGTGAGGGACGTCAGATGAAACACACCCACTCTGATCACTGTAGAGTTGCAAGAACAACATACTGGTGTCTAATCCATTATGTAGTCTCACTGAAAAGTATATGAAGTATAACAATTACCCTCTTAATTATTAGTCTACAGCTATAAGCTATCTTACTTCCTTTGTAAAATTATAGAATATCGACTACAAATTCAATGCAAATGAAAGATGCTTTCCTATTTATTATATGACATATCACCACAAAAATTTTATAAGAGAGTTCTGTCAACTCCAAAGGAACAAGTAACACTTATCTTATAAAAAACAGTTCCATAGAATAGGAAAAGAAGGAAAGTGCCTAATCCATTTTACATAGGTAGAGTACTTTTAATTTGAAAATTAAGTAAAGTTAGAAAAAAAAAGAAATTATAAGCCTGTTTTACTTATGAACACAGACACAAATTATTTTAAAAAGGCATTTGCTAATCAACTAGTTGTAGCATAGTAAAAATATAATACTAGGGTTTATTGCAGAGAAACAAGTGTGGTTTGACATTAAAAAATATGAAGTGTAAGTCACAGTCTAGTGGGCTGATATCATTTTCTTAATGGATATAGAAGACATTTTATGATGTTCAAAATTTATTTCTGATAAAAGAAAACACTCAATAAACTAGGAATAGAAGGCAACATCCTTAATTTATATGGGTAAAAGGATTTATGTCATAACTAAAGCAAACATTCTGTTTATGGTAGAATTTTAGCGATAGTCCCATTAATGTCAGAGAATGATTAAGATCACTTGATAATCTTGCCACCACTTAATAAATTACTCAGTGTATTGACCAATGTTATAGGATAAGAAAAAGAATAAATTATTAGAAATAACTAGAATTATATTCAGGTAATATGATCAAATGAAATTATTTACAGATGATACCATTAATATAGAATGCCAAACTGAATTCACAGACCAAGTATTAGAATAAATAAGAGAACTCAGAAAATGATTCAGATACACTATCACCTTACAAAAATCAATATAGTTCCTCTACATTAGCAATAATCAAATTAAAACAGGATATAAATTAAATTAGTAACCAAAACTGCATTCTGTACTAAAATGGTTTTGTCAATATACCAATTTGGCCAGCCTATAGTCCCCAGTTATTTAATCAAATGCTAATCTAGATGTTGCTGTGAATTTACAGATGTGATTTAAGTCCATAATCAACTGACTTTAAGTAAGGATATTATTAGCCTTGGTATCTGGGCAGGCCTGATTCAATCAGCTGGAAGTCCTGAAAAACAGTCTGAGGAGGGAGAAAGAGAAAGAGAAAGACAGAGATTGACGGAGGAAATTCTAACACCTGTAGACAGTAGCTGCAGACTGGGCCCATGAATTTCAACCTGTTCATGACAATGCTCTTCTCTTCCTGATAGCCTACCCCAGGGATTTCGGACTTGAATAGCCAGCTTGTATAATCAATAGTGTAAGTCACTTCCTTGTAATAAATTTTATATATATATATATACATGTCCTATAGGTGGAACCCTGACTGATAAAAGAGTCTAAGAAGTAACTTTAACAAAGACTGCACAAGATCAAATGGGCAAAACTGCGAAACTCAACAGAAAAACACGTAAGACACCAATACATGAAGAGATACACCACATTCTAACCGAATATGATAACATCAATTTTCCCCAAATTTTGTCTATGAATTCAGTGTAATTTCAAATAAAATGCCAGTAGAAGTTTTCAGGCATTCAACAAACACCATTCAAAATATATAAGAAAAGAATTTTTGAGGAATTCAACAAACTTATTTTTAAAAAATATTTTTGGAAAAATAAATACCTATGAATTGCCAGGCCAATTTTCAAATTTGAGAAACAAGATCAAAAGTGGGTGGGTTTTGTTTGTCCTAATATGTTAAGGTATGCTATAAACCCATAAGAGAAAACAAAACCAACAGTAACTTAGATTCCTTATATGGGGGGAGGAAGGCAAATGGAATGCTATATAGTGTTCAGAGAAATAGAACTTAACAACTTAGATGAATGTGATAAATGTCAGTGTTGACCCCACATATCAAGAAGAAAAGAATAGGCCATCTAAAAAATGAAAAACTGACTCAATAAATAGGGGGAAAAATAATGCTGAATCCCTACTACAAAGGTGATTGCCAGATGAATAAAGATCTAAATTGAAAGATAAAATTCTGAAGTCAACAGATGAAAATATGGAATAATAATTTTGTGGCCCTCAATGGGGATTGCCTCTAAAACAAGACCCAAACATAAGGTCAAAAACTAAAGATGAATCTGACTGCATTAAAATTGAAGTTTCAACAAATACCACCATGAACAAAATTCATAGGTGATTAGCTGGGATATCTAAAATGTGCATGAGATTACTCTTTAGAATAGGTAAAGAACACCTGCATATCGACAAGAAGACAGGTCAACCAATAGAGAAGAGAGCGAAAAACCAAAATAAGCCTCTTAAAGGGAAAACCTGATTGGGCAATATGTTTATACAGAGAATCTACAAGCATTAGTAGAGACATTATAATTAAAGCAGAAATGGGCTAACATTTTAGAGCCATCAATTACCAAAAATTATAAAAATTCAGAATATTGAGGTTTTGTAAGAGAAACAATGTTTTGGTAGCAGTGTGAAATGGATATAGCTTTTCTGAAAGTCAGACCTTAAGCTTGCCTAAATTCTCTGACTCAGTAATCACACTCTGAGTTATAAACTCCAGAGAAATTTTTGCAACAGGTCTACAGGGCACTAGAATAATGATATTCATCACATCACTGCCTGTAGTAACAGAGAATTGTAGATATTCTAATTATTTTTATGAGTAAAGGGATGGATATGTAAAAAATGCAGTGAATATTCATCTTAAAATATTTGCAGCCATTAGGTGCCTTGTAGTAAAACATTGGACAGCACAGCTAGATCTTAAAACATACTGGGTTAAAAATAGTAAGTAACAAAATGAGACACATAACACAAAATAATCCAAGATAACACAAACATTCATAAAATAACATATGTTTAGCACAAATTTGCTTAGGCATATTTAAAGTCTCTATTAAACACATTTGAGTAGTTCTAATGGAGAGGAAGGAAATAGGAATGAGAACTGGGTATGAACAAATTAGAGTGTATCAATAAAATGAGAGCTCTTTCACTAACCCTATAATAAAATATTCTGCGAATTACAATTGTTTCAATTCTTCATCCAAAGATGCAGGAACTAGATAAACTTTCACTAGATGAACAACATTCTGGTTCTTGGCATGCCCATGGCCATGCAACTTTGGGGAATTGATGAGATAAGCCCTCAGGCCTTTGAAATTCTACAATTTAATATATAAATAAAATTCATTTATATGACCTATATACACATGGTAAATATGATATGCTTATGAATTTACATATTTATAAATGTATTTTATATTTATATAATGCTAAATATATGTAATTTTGTATTTAAATATACATGTGTAAACACACACACACAATCTTTAAGATCTAACCAGAAGTTACATTATGTCATTTAAATAAAAAACAGTATTTTAGTCATAGGAAAACCACTTCGCACAGTCTAAATGACTTGATTACTAATCTTTCAGGAAAGAAAACAGGAGTTCAAGTTAAAATATTAAAATACCATAAATAGAATATCTCTCAAATCTAAGTTCAACAAACCCACACTAGAGAGAGTGACTTCTCAGTATCCCAAGAGAAGTTACCATTAAAAGCTGTGCAGTGTTTATCTGCCAGGCAAAGTCATATCATGGGAAACCACTATCTCTTATCTCACTGTTTTCAGTGACTGTATTAATGACCTCCAATCCATGGCTGTGGCTGTTGGTTCTGCACTGCTGCCAGACTGACTCTCTCCAGGCTCTGAGCTCAGAATATTAATTTTGTACTTCTAGTGTTGACTTCAAAGCCTTCGTGTGTGCTGCTCACACTACCTAAGATGGAGGAATCCCATAAAATATCTCGGATAAAACATGTAATGAAATGAAACCTAAAGGCCTAAAAACTTTTTTTACATAAGTATATAACTAAAATGTGTATTTCATCCTAAAGTGCATTTTCTTTATATTTTCTAACTTTTGATATAATAGTTTTGGTATATAGTCAGTTACTTAAATAAAAACATAGTTTGATGAAAATGGGTAGAGGACCTAAATAGACATTTTTGCAAAGCAGACATACATACAGATGGCCAACAGACACAAGAAAAGCTGCTTCACATCACTAATCATCAAGGAAATGCACATCAAAACTATAATGAGATAATCATCTCACACCAGTCAGAATGGCTACTATCCAAAGGACAAGAAATATTGGTGAGGATGTGGAGAAAAGGGAATCCTCCTACACCTAACCTCTCACATTTGGTAAGAATGTAAATTGGTACAGCCATATGGAAAACAGTATGGAGGTTTCTCAAAAAACTTAATGAAGAAATACCAGATGATCCAGCAATTTCACTTGTAGGAATTTACCCCCTAAAAACAAAATCACAAATATGAAAAGACATGTTCACTCCTTTTTATTACAATAGCCACAACATGGAAGCAACCTAGCTATCCATCAATAGATGAATGGATAAAGATGTGGTATATATATATATATATATATATATACAGTGGAATATTACTCAGCCATAAAAAAGAATGAAATCTTGCCATTTTTGACAACATGGATGGACCTAGAGGATACTATGCTAAATGAAATAAGTCAGAGAAAGACAAATACCATATGAATTCACTTATATGTGGAATCTAAAAAACAAAACAAGTTAAATAGAAACATAATCCTAGACTTAGAAAATAGACTGCTGGTTGCCATGAGGGAGTTAGTGAGGGACTGGGTGAAAAAGGTGAAGGGGATAAAAGGGCACAAACTTCTAATTATAAATAAATTAGTCATGGGGATAAAGTATGGCATAGGAAATACGGTA